AGAACAAGCAAAAGACTACATAATAGAAACACTTCAGTCTGGAGATCCCAAGGTGGTAATTGCAGTGATGTATAAACCACCACAGAACAGCAGGCCTCTTAAACTAAGTACACGTCACTTCTTAAACTAAGTACACGTCACCACTTTGGGTAGCTTCAAATTTAGGTTGGATAAATATATGAGTGAGAGGGGTTGAATTTGAGTGGGACTTGCAAATGAGTGGATAGTTATCAGAGCTTATTTCTTGGGTAGCATTGAAAATTAGGTTGGGCAAATGTTTTGTTAGTGGGATGGATTGTAAAGGACCTGCCTAGTATGGGCCAACAGGCCTGCTGCAGTGATCCTCCTTTCTTATGTTCTTATGTTCAAGGCAAAAGTATGATGAGAGTAATAGAGCAATAATTGACACACTGACTGAAGTGGACAGAACGGCGAGCAGGGCAAAGCTGCTGATTATGGGTGACTTCAACCACAAGGAAATCAACTGGGAAACCCTGGAGCCACATTGGGGCCCAAACACCATAGAGACCTAGGATGACGGAGGTGGTACTGGAAAACCTAATGCACCAACACGTAAAGGACACTACCAGGGAGAGAGAGGAGAGGATGAACCAGCGAGACTGGACCTAGTATTTACCTTGAATAGTGCAGATATTGAGGACATCTCATATGAAAGATCCCTCGGGGCCAGTGATCATGTGTTTCTGAGCTTTGAATACATAGTAGATTTACAAGTGGAGCGGGAAGCAGGAAGGGCAGAACGAATGAAGTGAAACTACAAGACAGCGGACTACACAGGCATGAAGAATTTCCTGCATGGGGTTCAGTGGGACAGAGAATTGGCTGGGAAGTCAGTTAACGAGATGATGGAATATGTGACAACAATATGCAAGGAAGCTGAGAAGAGGTTTGTACCCAAGGGTAACAGAAATAATGAGGTTAGGGTAAGCCCTTGGTTCACCCAAAGGGGTAAAGAGGCCAAAACCAAGTGGGATAGGGAATGGAAGAAGTATAGAAGGCGAAGGACCCAGGAAAATAAGGAAAGAAGTCGTCGAGACAGTAACGAATGTGCACAGGCAAGAAGGGAGGCCAACGGCAATACGAAAATGACATAGCAGCGAATGTTAAATCTGACCTAAAGCTGTTGTTCAGCCATATTAGGAAGAAAACGACAGTCAAGGACCAGGTAAACAGGCTGAGGAAGGAAGATCACAAGAAACGACCGTGAAGTATGCGAGGAGCTCAATATGAAATTCAGAGAGGTGTTCACAGAGGAGACATAGGGGACTCCAGAAAGACGGAGAGGCGGGTTACACCTTCAAGTGTTGGACACAATACATACAACCGAGGAAGAAGTGAAGAGGCTGCTAAGCAAAGTAGATGCCTCAAAAGCGATGGGGCCAGATAGCATCTCTCCATGGGTCCTGATAGAGGGAATAGAGGCGCTTGGGGTACCACTAATAACAATCTTCAAAACGTCTACAGAAATAGGGCGACTATCTGAGGTATGGAAGACAGCAAATGTAGTCCCAATTTTTAAAAAGGAGACAGACATGAAGCACTAAACTACTGACCAGCATCACTGACATGCATAGTATGCAGTCATAGAGAAGATCATCAGGAGAAGAGTGGTTTCAGGGACGGGAAATCTTGTGTCACAAACCTACTGGAGTGTAGCTGTTTGCAGATAATGTTAAGTTGATGAGAAGAATTCAATCAGACAAGGACCAGGCAAAACTACAAAGGAATCTGGACAGACTGCTGGCCTGGTCTAGCAAATGGCTCCTGGAGCTGAACCCCACCAAATGCAATGTCATGAAGATTGGGCAAGGGCAAAGAAGACCGCAGACAGAGTACAGTCTAGGGGGCCAGAGACTACAAACCTCACTCAAGGAAAAGGACTTTGGGGTGAATATGACACTGGGCGCATCTCCTGAGGCGCACATCAACCAAATAACTGCGGCAACTTATGGGCGCCTAGCAAACTTAAGAACGGCATTCCAATATCTTAATAAAGAATCATTCAGGACCCTGTACACTGTGCACGTTAGGCCCATATTGGAATATGCAGCACCATTTTGGAACCCACACCTAGCGAAGTACGTAAAGAAACTAAAGAAAGTGTAAAGGTTTGCAACTAGACTGGTCACGGAGCTAAGGGGTATGCCCTACGAGGAGAGGTTAAGAGAAATCGACGTGACGACACTGGAGGACAGGAGAGAGAGATGGGGGATATGATAACGACATACAAAATACTGAGAGGATCGACAGGGTGGACAGAGACAAGATGTTCCAGAAATGGGACACAGCAACAAGGGGTCGCAGTTGGAAGTTGAAGACTCAGATGAATCACAGGGATGTTAGGAAGTATTTCTTCAGTCACAGAGTTGTCAGGAAGTGGAATAGTTTGCGAAGTGATGCAGTGGAGGCAGGATCCATTTATGGCTTTAAGAAGAGGTATGATAATGCTCATATATATATATATATATATATATATATATATATATATATATATATATATATATATATATATATATATATATATATATATATATATATATATATATATATATATATTATATATATATATATATATATATATATATATATATATATATATATATATATATATGATGGGGTCCACCTCTGGTGTAAATTGTGGGACCCACAGCCTCGGAAAAGTGGATAAAAAGGTTTCAAGGATGAATATTTGGATTTCTTCCTGAAGCCGCTTGAATATTCCACTTCCCCTGCCTCCCAATCTTTTCATATTTTTTTTTTACCAGTAGGAATATTTTATTACATAATATGGTACAAAGGATTTAAGAGATACATTGTTGATATAAAGGTGGCATATACGGTACATGTTGTTACGTGTGTATCACCGATTATAAGGCGAGAATCTCATCCAGCTCCTCAGAGCTGGGGCATGTGCCCAAATTACAGCAGGCATTACCCCTTTGAACAGCCGCACTGTGCCGCTGGAACAGAAAACTAGCTGCCCTGGGATCCCTAGTTACCCTGATGAGTCTTTTTCCCACCCCCTTAAGGAATTTAGATGCATTCTTTCCCCGTGAGCCAAGGGTCTCTGAGTCTATGGGAACAAACATATAATGATGGGCAAGTTCTCCATATTTTCTAGACTTTTGGGTCTCCCTGAAGCTGGCAGCTGCCCCTCCTTCCTCCCTGGTGTATTAGAGATAGGTATCAGCCAAGGTAGATGCACATGTATAGGCCCACACCACCTGCTTCCCATCTGTCCAGGCTTGAAGGGTGATACCATCCGGACGCTTCTGGCTGCCATCAGATCTGCATAGCTGGGGTGGATCCCTTACTGCTGGGCATCGGGCTGTTGTGAGGCTCCTCTTGATAATGTTATTAACCTCCTCATGTCTTGCAATCTTTCCCTCGGATTTACGGCACACAAGACCATGGTACCCGAATCGGTCTGCTGCTTCACTGCCACAAATACACCTGTGTTCGGCGAGAATAGGGGCGGCAAGTCGAAGGCCAACACCGATGCGGATGGTCTGTGGGTCGAGGAGTGTGCCAAGGCTGGAGTTGAGAGCAGCCAACAAAGTCCCTGCATGAGGGGCTCTCACTGCCAGGAGGCGGGCTCTATCCTTCCTTGACACACTCTGAAGCATTGTTGAGGCTATATTTTCCACTATTGGACCATCCAAGTGCGATTGTTTGTAGTTGTTGGGGGGAGCAGGTCTGGTTTCAGAGCCCGTTAGATTATCCCAGATCATGGTTCCATCAATGAACTTTTGGTCCTGGACTCCAATCTTGTCCCTAAGATGTTCAGGGAGAATCGCTGCTAATCGTAATGACACGATTGCAAACAAACCATACCACGGGCGGGGATAGAACCCGCAATCGTGTCATTACGATTTCGTGAGCCATGTTAACGGCTTTGAAGGGACATGAGCTAGAGTTCGTCAGGCCACGCTAGCTGGAGAGCCGTCTGTGAAAATTGGCATTTGTGGTCACAGTGGTGCCTGTGCTAACCTTCCTATGGTGTAGAAATATACCTAGTTGGACGAATCTTATTGTGGCTAGCTGGTCCAGTGGCTAACGTGACGGTCTGGAGTTTTGAGACTCTCTGACCGCGGGTTCTACCCCTCCCGTGGTATGGTTTAGCATACTCAGTTCACACATTGAGGTCCATGGTTCGATCCCCGGTACGGGTGGAAACTTAAAACGTGTTTCCTTAAAACACTTGCTGTCCATGTTCACCTATCAGTAAAATAGGTACCTGGGTGTTAGTCGACTGGTGTGGGTCGCATCCTGGGGACAAAATTAACCTAATTTTCCCAAAATTCTCTTCATAACAAAGGACTTCCTATATAGCAGTATGTTATTGATGTCAGCTAGTACTGTATACCTTGTACATGTACTTGTAGAAGTAAAGATTATTATTATTATTATTATTATTATTATTATTATTATTATTATTATTATTATTATTATTATTATTATTATTATTATTATTATTATTAATCTTATGTTGACATCAAGTAAGGTAAGGCGTCGGGAGGTTAGCTTGGTTCCCACGAGTGGGGCTAAATGTCCGGGGTTCGATCCCCGGCTGATTGCAGTGTAATTCAGTAATATATGGGAGGTGAATCAGTGCAGTGGTACAATAAAATCTGTTCAGACTGATTTACAGGTAGGAGAATGGTTTATCATGCTTATATAAGTGAAAATTGAATGACTGGTGATGCTAATAAACTCGCACCTCATTTTTTATATATAAGAAAACACATAGTTGATTATCACATTGTAAAAAAATATTAAAAACAAAATATTTTAAATTATGAATAATGTTTAGAGAGTGGTTAAAAATTTTAAATTAAGGGTTACCTGACATGGTACTGAGACCTTCACTCTTGACCTTAGGATACTACATCAAGAATTCCATTTACGCAAATTATATCTTCGTTCCCTTCTCTTCTAATTTGTCCCATTCCAATCTAATTTGTTCCATTTACCGGCAGAGTGAAGATGCTGAGAGTGGAGGTGATGCTGGTGAGACCAGCGTGACCACTGACGCTCCTCCCAAGTACGATACAGTGGTGGGGAAACCCCCTCCATACAGTCACCTCTACACCTCGGCGGAAGCTTGCTACCTGCCCGTGTACCACACTCCTCAGCACACTGATGGAGACACCACTCTGACCTCAGAAGAAGAGGAGACCACTAGAGACACGGATCCTCCGCCATACTCAGAGGTCTCCAAGACCATCGCGCCGGTTTGAGAGGAAGGGTGGTCCTGGACCTCCAGGATTGGTCAGGCGCTACCACAGCATCACAATGCCAAGTGGTCCGGAGTGGTGTCAGTGTCTCCACAACAGAGGTTGTGTCGTCAGCGGCTGACGCAGCTGATGCGAATCAGCTGTTGTCAGCCTGACTACTATGACTCAGGAATATATCAAAAATATTAAAAAAATACTATTATTAAGAACTTAGCAACAAAGACTAGTTTTCTCCCTGAGTGTATGAAGCATTCCAAAAGTTTTTAATAAATAAATATTTATCACTGTAACTGGGAATTTTCACTGCTCAAACTGAAGGCAATATATTTTCATGGAGCCTATCTATCATGAGCCAAAGATAGATCAATGTGTCACACTTGAGGTTGACACACATCAACTCTTTATATCCCTGAGTGTATTGACAGTTTCTATATATCAATGTACTTAAAAAAACAATAAAAAAAATAAATTAACTAGTAAGAGACCATATTGTGTATTTCCAGAAAAAAAAAATTACATCAGTAGTGGCATCCTACATATCAGTTTTAATTAAGCTCAGAATACCTGAAAATGTATATAAATGTGTATTGTTATATTCTAGTTAATATAAACATCGATCACATAAGAGCAACAGTGAAACTATCAAATCCGAAGTTAAAAATGTGTGACGTATGGGAGTTGAGTTAGCTTTTTGTATTGTAACATTAATGTAATCATAACTTTGTAAATATGAGGACATATAAACTGTTTAGTGTTACTGTGAATTGACGGAGAAGTTGTTCTTAGAACCAAAGACGTATTAACTCAGTATAATTATTTTTCTCATCTATTACGTAATTATAAGCAACTTTAATGTCTAGTATTAAACAATTATAGTTTTGCTTAAATGTGTATTAAACACATACACACACACACACACACACACACACATACACACACACACACACACACACACACACACACACACACACACACACACACACACACACACAAACACCCTATCA